TTGTTGTATCATATTTGTATCTTTTAACGTGTTAACTTTCTAAAATTTAATTTTTATCTTTAATGTGTTTTAGCTTCTCTAGTAATAATCGCAACGATTATTCAAGTCCGTTATAATTAAAACGCTGTAAACTCAAAATTAGTAAAAATGCGCGCGATCAATTCGATCAATAAGTTATGATGCTACGTATATATGCTGTCATTACCCACTGAACCGCGCCTATCCCTGCAAAGTATGCCGCGCAACCCGTCGTACTGCCCAATATATATATGCAACACTCTGTACGCTGCGACCGTCATTATGAAGCGCAGTAACTGCTGCACGTTTTTCTACACTAAGGTTAGATTCTCGACCCATTTTCTTCGAAAAAAAAACGAAAAATAATATGTGATAGTGTTCTTTCAAATATTCAATTTGAACTCAGTAAAATAACAACAGCAGCTAAAATACTTACAAGTACGTCCTGTTATGAATGTGAATAAACGATATTGCAAAGTCGAGTACGAGAATTATACTACTTACAGCGCGGTTTAGTCGAGAAATTTGACGGTGACGCTAGACCGAGTTCGGAGTAACAACAATGGATCACTAATGGCACACGGCAACGGAGCATAGACGGATCCAGCTTCATGTATGTTATGTTTACAATTTGGGTATACCATAAGGTAAAATATTGTTGAAGAGAAACTGGCACAAGAAGCCTTGAGAAGACGCAAGAAGTCTTTAAGATCAGGTGTCGGCATTAATTGGTGATTGATGTATACTTGTATCTCGAAAAATATATTGTTGTGTATATAGTGGTTTTAATAATATAACAAATATACAGCGGAGTTTTTCTAATTTTTATTTTTCTTAGAACATTTCAGAATTTTTGAAATTTTTTTTTCTTCAGAATTGGTAAATTCTGAATTAAAGATATTTTTTAAAGGTAATTTTTTCTCCCTAAAAAGCCTATTGCGAAAAAGTTAGATTAAATTATTTTTACAGAATATTGCACATTATAATAGCATATAATAGCATACTAATTAGCATGGCTGATTAGCATTCTATTTGACATTAAGATGTAATTCGGTGTATGTAATTATATAACGCGAAATTTAACACGCATAAGAAAAAAAAACAGCGCAATGTATTTGCGTTTGTACATCGAATTTTACAAGCGGCAAGATGTTTGAACTAGTGTGATCTTTTGTTGGTATGGAAGCCGCGTAAAATAGACAATAATTGATTTAACTCACGGCAAGACAAGAATTTGGAAGCCGCACAAAATCCGATGACGACCGATCATGATGTAACTTTATAGGAATTTTTGCACAAATGATTTAAAGAGCATAAGTTTTATTTATGACAAATGTATATTTTTCCAAAATTTTGATAAATTACATTTCTGAACTTTACGTTTTATAGATTACATATAATATGACATGTAAAAATATATCTTTTTATCTTTACAGATGTGCGATCTACTAAATAGAAATAATTAACACATTTTAAAGTGCGTGAGAATTTTTATTGACTTTTATGCTTTAAATACATTTTATTATATTCTCGAGCAATGTGCATGAAAGTCTAATTCTTGTCGAGCAAAAATATTCGAGCCGTATAATTGTCTCTATAATCATCGGCAAATGTTACTCATGTTTTTTACATGCAAATCGTTAACAATCCGCTTTATGGAGATAAAAGCGGATGGATTTTAACGCTTCCCGGATTTAGCTACGCGGAAAAAGAAGATCTGTTGTCGATAGTTAAAGCAGACGTACAGCGAGGTATTTTCTGGACGATGCGACGATGCTTGAATGCGACATCGAAGAAACCTTGGATAAAATCTATGAATACAAACGCAGCCCATTCGCGTGCGCGTATCATGACATATTCAGATCTATGCGCACCGCTGTAAAAAGTCGATGACTATAAATGGAGATATCTTAATTTCTAGCGCAATATCATATTTACGACATGTATATATAAACGAGGTAATTCTTTTCCCACGTTCTTCCGCGACGTACATTTCTCTCATTATTCATCATAATTATGATGACAAAGCGCAAGACGTATCATGCTACCTTACACATCACAAAGTAATTAAGATGAAAAATGAATTAAAGAGAATATATTGAAAATTGAAAAGATATTGATTCTACTATTTTTTGTAATGTTTATTTTTTCAGACAAATTTCCGCATTTTGGATAAAAGTTGAACAGTTTTTTTTCTGAAAGGATTGAATTTTTTATCGCCTTGAAGAAGAAATCGTAAAGGTGAGAAATTTTACTTGAAGTTTGACTGGCTAGAAGTTAATAAAACTATGTTAATCGTGGGAAAAGTAGCAGATACAATATTGCTGTATGACAAATCCAGTGCATCCAGATAAGGCGATAACAATGACTATTAAATAAGCTTCCCTTCTTTCCACCTGGGTGATCAGCCTGTTACCTCCCGGATCTGTTTCAGAGATTGCCTCAAGGTAATGCCGCTCGAAAATGGCAAAACATTAATCCTTCTTTCTTTCCTTATTGATAGCAAGCGTCGTTGCAGGCGGTGCCACGTGCACCGACTGCGCGTACGCGAATATAAAGCGATGTAATGCGATAAAAGCCAGCTTGTACTTACGAGTCTTCTCGCCGCGAGGCGAAGACCGCAAGTCATCAGTCGCGCGAGAATCGTTATCGAGAGGCGAGCAGGTGACGTTGATAAGAAATATTATCTACAATTTAGTTCTCTTTGCGTCGGCGAAGATTCATTTGCAATTTCAACTGGCCTCACATCTTGAAAGAAAGCAGGTAAATGCTTGCAAAATTAAATTTCTTTTTTTTTCTTATCTCTTATTTTTATTGTCTTTGATGATTTAAGTATGAATACATATTCGTCTGTTATTTTTTCGTACGGAAAATTAGTTAATTAGAAAATAAATTCCATTACGACAAAAGAAATTATACAATAATAAATACTAATTGACTTAATGCAATTAAAATTTTTTATGACAAGAAAAGAGCCGTGCACGCTATTAATGCTGAAAAAGACGCACCTTTATTCAATAATACACAATAGTAAAGTAACACAATAGTAACACAATAGTAATTTAAACACAATAGTAAAGTATAGACTCGAATAATTTATCAAATAATAATAAATTAAAAGGCAAAAAGAGCCGTTGCTAATTATTCATGCAATATAATTTCATTTAGTGTCAATTAACAGTGATAATAATGAAACCAAGAATCCATAAAATAATATCATGGAAGAGTCAGAGAATGAAATTTCCAAGTTTGATATTGACAAAAATAAATGTAAATTTGCATAAACTCTTGAGATACCTTGGCCGAAATGTTTGTATAAATTTATAATAAAAAAAGGAATTTTTGATTATTTACTAAGAATAATCTAACAATAAGACCGAAACGTTTATATATGTATCAAATAATAATAAATAACAAGAGCCGTTGCTAGTTATTCATGCAATATAATTCCACTTAGTGTACAATGACAAACGTTTCAACCTAAATTAGGCCTTCAGTGTCATACAAAATAAATACATTTCTATTAATAATAAATAATTATATTAATAAATTTCATACAAGAAGAAACTATAAGCGCAGAAATTTCGAGGCGTGGAATGAATTTAGTAAGATTTCCTTGCACCCTTATTCTTAATTAACAGTGATAATAATGAAATCAAGGATCCGTAAAATAATATTATGGAAGAGTCAGAGAAATTTCCAAGTCTGATGTTAACAAAAATAAGTGTAAATTCGTATAAACTCTCGAGATCCATGATTAAGCATTGAAAACTATTTAGTCAAAGGTTAAAATAATATTTAAACTATAAAATATTTTATAAAATTTATTATTTATTATAATAAATTTATTATAATACAAATAATATTAGGTTATTGCTCTTCCTTAATTAAATTAAAAATCGTTTTAATATATAAAGCCAATAGAGCAAGAGCTGGATCGATTTGCTCAAAAATTCCTTTTTTATTATAAATTATTATAATAAACTTTATTGATTGTCATTACCAACGCTTCTCTAATTATGTATTAAATTTTATATATTTTTTGTATTACACTGAAGATGGCCACGTACCTTGGCCGAAATGTCTGCATAAATTTATAATAAAAAAGGAATTTTTGATTATTTACTAAGGATAATCTAACAGTAAGACCGAAACGTTTATATATGTATCAAATAATAATAAATAACAAGAGTCGTTGCTAGTTATTCATGCAATATAATTCTACTTAGTGTACAATGACAAACGTTTCAACCTAAATTAGGCCTTCAGTGTCATACAAAATAAATACATTTCTATTAATAATAAATAATTATATTAATAAATTTCATACAAGAAGAAACGATAAGCGCAGAAATTTCGAGGCGTGGAATAAATTTAGTAAGATTTCCTTGCACCCTTATTCTTAATTAACAGTAATAATAATGAAATCAAGGATCCGTAAAATAATATCATGGAAGAGTCAGAGAAATTTCCAAGTCTGATGTTAACAAAAATGAGTGTAAATTCGTATAAACTCTCGAGATCCATGATTAAGAATTGAAAACTATTTAGTCAAAGGTTAAAATAATATTTAAACTATAAAATATTTTATAAAATTTATTATTTATTATAATAAATTTATTATAATACAAATAATATTAGGTTATTGGTCTTCCTTAATTAAATTAAAAATCGTTTTAATATATAAAGCCAATAGAGCAAGAGCTGGATCGATTTGCCCAAAAATTCCTTTTTTTATTATAAATTATTATAATAAACTTTATTGATTGTCATTACCAACGCTTCTCTAATTATAAAAAATATATAAAATTTAATACATAATTAGAGAAGCGTTGGTAAATG